AAATCTTGTTCAACAAATTGATAATTAAGAACCAATCCCCACCAATAGTCTGTCCAATTGGAATGATATAAATGTCTTAACATCAATTTAAGAAGCAACCAGCAAGTGGGCTTCTTCCAAGTAACGTATCATAGAATTCCGCTTGATGGCCACAGGTTCTTTGAGTTACCATTTGATGAAAAAAATCAAATATTATAAGGAGAATACCTGACCTAATGAATCTGTGCTCTTGTTTTGGAACGAGTTCTTTGTCTAATGACCTAAAACTACAAAATTCTTTCCAATGAAAATACTAAATATGGAGGGGTAAAGGCGTGATTAGCTTAAAGAAGGTAGAGTAATAAAGGATGAAGTGAAAATTAGGGTTTAGATTTGGGTTTAAATTAGAGACTTTGTATTACCGTTATTAATGTTTGGAATGGAAGGCAACGTGTGTGTTAGAGAGTGTATTACACGCAAGATGAGGTGATTGAGTCCGGTATTTACTTGACTTACTTATTAGCCACTTAAAGTGTTAAAATGAAAAAGAGCTCAAAGTGTTTGTCTATCGTTGAAAACAATTTAAAGGGGTTGTTTATATATTTTGCCTTTGTACAATAAATATGTTTATATTAGTTAGTTATTTCGTATGATATTATATATTAAGTATTAAAGGAGTGTATCTTAGTTGATTTATAGTTAGCACTTTAGCCTAACAGTTTGAGTAATAATTGTGATTCATGAAGTGATTGTTTAGTGGTATAGGTGCATGCACATATCTGATTAATTATTTGAATTGCATATATAATTAGTATTGTATATTTACTTCAACCGTCTCTTTAATTTCAACGTATGTGTTTACATATAGAGAGAGATTTCTGTTGCATGATTGTGTACTTCCTAATTCGTACTTTAATTTCTTAGTTAATACTTCTTCCGTTTCAGTTTATGTGAATTTATTTTTTTTTGTCCGTTCCAAAAAGAATGACTCCTTTCTAAATTTGGAAATAATTTAGCTTAAATTTTCAATTCTATCCTTAATGAGAAGCTTTTATAACTACACAAATACGCTAGACTCCTTTTTGACTTGTTTAGAACCACAAATTCTAAAAAAATTTATTTTTCTTAAATTTTGTACTCAATCAAACAAGTTCACGTAAATCAGAACGGAAGGAGTACAGTTTTCTATCGTGAAGTGCTGCCTTATAGTAATATCATCTTTTCGTGGGGATGTGACAATTATGTTAGGGTCTATAGGATGTGTAGTCGCTGAATTCGAGAAAAAAAGTAAACTCATCAGCATGGTATTGTTTTAGTAATGGATAAAATGGAACGAATTTGATGTATTCTCGAAATGTCCGCAAGTTTTGGTTGGTGCCTGATCGTATCGATGTTATTATGTTGATTATTATTAGGTTCATTTGCTATTTGTATTGTGTATGCAGGAAAACTTGAGCCATACATTGGTTAAAAAGTAGCCGGTCGGCCGGTTTAAAGATTGATTAATTAGTTGAAGGATCTAATATTTAGTATGCAAAATATATTTTAAAGTTATTTCAAGTAGCACTGATTATCAACCCGTACATAACCATTATGAATCATCTTTTTGCCTGTTAAAATTGTTAAATAAGTTTAATGATGTTGATTTTTTCATTTTAATGATGTTAGTTAACAGGTTCCAGTTTATTATAAGGGGTATTGTTAATTCTCAAATTAATAACAATAGCGTTTTAGCGATATATATTATTAAGTGTGAGAACGTGATTTTTGCCCTAAGCTAATTATTCCTAAAAATTCAAACAAAACAATCTCTTTATTTTTACATTTTTTGTGAATTCTGATAGTTGTTTGCATTTTATTTGTGCATGTTAATTCATATGAAAATACAAAAATATGCATTTAGGATATAACTTCATATTTTAGGATNCCAAAACCTTCGAATCTTAGATCAAAGAAACTCCGGCCAAAACGTCACCTTGCCCAAACACCACCAAATTTACACCACAAGACTGCCTCCGTGTCCTCTATCGAACCCCCTTAACCCCGTCCCTCGAATCCTGCCGGAACTATTCGAATATCAGTTTAAGTTTTTTCCGGCCAAAACCCTAGTCACACCAACTCGCCCCAAAATGATACCATATGTCCCTTGGGCCCTCCTCGTCAAGAATTCAATGTCATTAACACTCAATTCCCACCAGAGACGGCCGAATTTGAAGTGTGAAAGTCAGCCGGACTTCGAGCCATGGTATTGAGTTTTTGTTTTCTTTTTTCCTTTGTTTAATTCTTTTATTTTTGCTTCTGTGATCATATTCGTTAAATTCTAGTTTAAGAAGTTTCCGTTGATTTTGGTCCTAATTCTGTGTCTGATTGTTGTTTACTTAGACTTTAATTCGTCTTGCTTTTCTTTTAGTTTAGTTTGATTATTAGCATGACTTCATTAGAATATGATTTGTTACGATTAAAACTTGTTTTGATAATCGATTAATTCCGTTGGATAGGTTTGGATATTAGTCCAATTGGGTTCAAATCATTCTTTGATATGTGTTCTAATTCACATTGCTTCATTAGCTGATTACTTTGTCGTTGTCTGGATTGCTGAAGATTGTTAGTTAACTAAGGTTAGTTGTTAGATAATCATAGTTAGGAGTTGGGTTGGGTTAGACTAATTTAGTAATTTCAAATGAGTTCAAGGGCATTTCAGGTAACTAGTAAGATACAGAAATGATGTAGATTAAACCTGAAGTTCCTAGAACCTTCTAGATAGGGGTAAAATTAGAATTTCAGAAAACTAAGTGTACTTACTTGAAGCACAAGTCAGTAAACAAAGGGTGAAAAGTTAAAAACTAAAAATAAAAGAGGGATTGAAATGAAAGAAAACAAAAATCTGAGTTGCACTTCATTTTTGCCTATAAAAGGCATCACAAATGCCTTGAATAGGGAGTTTTTTTTTTTAGCCATAAAATTCCCCAAAAAAAACCTTTCCTGAGATCTGAATCAAAGTTCGAAATTCAAATTTTAGAAGTTCAAAAATCAGCAGTCTTATAGTTTTTCACCTTCTGTTAGATCAGAATTGCTACTCAAAAATCCAAAAACAAACAGAAATATAGTAGAAAAATCAGAAAAGAGCACTGTTCCATTGAAACTTTAGGATAATTTTAATCTCTAGTTGTTAAATCACATCTTCTAGTTCAATGTTTGGTTATTGGGTTTTCAGAGGTCTATTGGTCCGATTTTGAGTGATTTTGAGCTTGAGTAAGCAATTTTGGTTGAGTTTCGTTTGCTGAGAGTTTCAAAGGGATTTTGCGTTCATTTCCGAGTTTATTTGGGTGAATTTGGTGCTGTTCTGGGTGGTTTATCAATCCTGTTTGAATTGAAACATTTCTGCAATCATTTCTGGGCTGTGATTCAATTTCCTGGGTTGCGCATTTGTTGCTGTTTGATTATCTTTTGGTCTGTTGTTGTATTGCTGCTGCTGATCTCTTTATTCTGTTAAAAATTCCATTTCCAGGTACACATTCTAATCATGTGTGATGGAGCTGTGAAGTGAAGTAATAAAATGAAGTTTTCATCCATGCGAATACCTGTAGTTTAATTAGTAATGCTTTAATTTTAGTTCGTTGGAACTGTGTTGAATTGGAACTAATACTGGACTGTTCCGGGCTGTTTGATCTCTGGTTATTCAACAATAGTTTTTTTTTTTTTAAAATAGTAGGTATTTCCTGATTCTACTAGCCTCGTTCTGTTAAAAACTAAAAATCAAAACAGTTTGTTATTGCAGTAGGTAACAGGTATTGATGGATGGATAATAGTTTATTCTAGTTGTTACAGTTGTTATCTAATAAGTTGTGAATAAAGTAAGTCCAGGTTATTGGCCTGTTTATGCTAGTGAAGTATTTACGTAATCAATCTAATCATTTGCTTGTCACCTTTGCTATATAATTAGTTGTGAAAATTGCTTAGCATTTTCCCATTATTGTTAATGAAATTGCTTAGTTAATCCTTTACCTTCACCGTCACTAGTATTTAGTAGCTCATTTATGTCACGACCCAAACCGAAGGGCCGCGACGGGCACCCAGTGCCTTACTCAACCGAGTACCAACGTAACATATCTTTCTTATCATGTTATCATGAGTAAATGAGCTAGAAAACTCGTCCTGAGATAACAAGAATAAAACATAAGGGAATAGTCAACATATAAAGACCCAACATGATATACAAACTAATATATGTGACATACGGGCCTATAAGGCCGACATGACCATTAGTAAACTCGAAACATAGGCCGACAAGGCCATACAATTATCCATACACCTGACATATGTCTAGACATATGTCAGGTGTATGGATAATTGTATGGCCTTGTCGGCCTATGTTTCGAGTTTACTAATGGTCATGTCGGCCTTATAGGCCCGTATGTCACATATATTAGTTTGTATATCATGTTGGGTCTTTATATGTTGACTATTCCCTTATGTTTTATTCTTGTTATCTCAGGACGAGTTTTCTAGCTCATTTACTCATGATAACATGATAAGAAAGATATGTTACGTTGGTACTCGGTTGAGTAAGGCACCGGGTGCCCGTCGCGGCCCTTCGGTTTGGGTCGTGACATAAATGAGCTACTAAATACTAGTGACGGTGAAGGTAAAGGATTAACTAAGCAATTTCATTAACAATAATGGGAAAATGCTAAGCAATTTTCACAACTAATTATATAGCAAAGGTGACAAGCAAATGATTAGATTGATTACGTAAATACTTCACTAGCATAAACAGGCCAATAACCTGGACTTACTTTATTCACAACTTATTAGATAACAACTGTAACAACTAGAATAAACTATTATCCATCCATCAATACCTGTTACCTACTGCAATAACAAACTGTTTTGATTTTTAGTTTTTAACAGAACGAGGCTAGTAGAATCAGGAAATACCTACTATTTTAAAAAAAAAAAAACTATTGTTGAATAACCAGAGATCAAACAGCCCGGAACAGTCCAGTATTAGTTCCAATTCAACACAGTTCCAACGAACTAAAATTAAAGCATTACTAATTAAACTACAGGTATTCGCATGGATGAAAACTTCATTTTATTACTTCACTTCACAGCTCCATCACACATGATTAGAATGTGTACCTGGAAATGGAATTTTTAACAGAATAAAGAGATCAGCAGCAGCAATACAACAACAGACCAAAAGATAATCAAACAGCAACAAATGCGCAANTTTATAAATTGAAGTAGGTCAACCACCGCCTAAGTGGGTCCCATTGGGAGCTACTTGCGCGGTCTAGCGAAAATGCGAATATCTCTCTACTCCGATGTCGTATTAACAAACGGTTTAATGCGTTAGAAAGTAGACTAGTAGACCTTCAATTTGGTAGGTAGAACACCCCATTATTCCAAGTATATTTGGAGAAATTCTCAGATACATTTGACCTAAATTTCAGCAAATTTATGAATGTAACTTGTGATGACCTTTGCCAACTCTTGTTCCACAACTTGCTTGCCTTCAAAATGTAGAAAATGAATATCATACGACTAAAATAACTCATAGAATAACCTCCTTATCATGTTAATAACCCTAGTCTCACCCCAAAGTACATGTTATAACATTCGAAACTTGTCGACTTTCGACGAAACTTATTTTCTTCAATTGGTTTAGCTTCTAAGATTTCCAACCCTCTTGGTAATCGTTATTCATGATCTTAAATATTTGTAACCTCCAAGGTAACATTATTAACTTACTTTATTTGCTTCCAAATAGAATCTCATTTCCGAGCTTACATCAATGACTTACGATGTACTCTCACGTATGAAAACTTGGGGTGTAACAATTTATAGGCGTACCCCTGATAATATAACGAGTAATGCATTGCTCTTCCTTCTCTCCACTCAATGAATGCACGTTTAGAATGATTTGAAATGAATGCAGCATAGTGAGTTCATCTATTATTGGGCTTAAAAGGACATGGCAGCTGACAACCCAGTATCTGACTCAGGGACTCGATCCCTCGACCTCTTTCACGAAATCTGACCAGCCTTATTCAACTTGGGGCTGGTCTCAGGCCCAATGTTGGATTTATGTGAAATATCTGTCCGATTTTCTAGGCTTTGTATGGTTTGGGTCGTTTTGGCCCAAAGTCAAAAAGGGCAATTGGTTTAGTAATATCTAAATGGTAGACTATGGTTTTATTTCGTAACAGTAAATTAATTAGGACCCTTTTTATTTTTTAGAGACAAATAAAAAATAGAAAATCATAGTCACTTTAGGTTTACTCCTTTAAAAAAAATGGGACGAGCCTCGCCAAACAAAAAAATGCAAATTTACGGGGCCCTCGATAAATATTACACTAAAATATTTCAGAATTCGGGATGGGCCGCTTAAAAATTTCACGGCCTTCCCCAAAGATAAAAACACGTTAGTCTCTTTAGGCTCGCACTTTAATAACATTATCTTCCTAAAATTCGGGTGCATATTTATGTGATCCGAATCCAAATCTCAACGAAGTCGAAATGCGTTAATAACCACGGGTGCATTGATGTGACGTGGTTCGAGATGCATTTTCACGACGTTGCAATTCTTCTAAAATAATGATAAAAGTGGTTTAAAGTAAAAAGGCACATAAGTTACAACATGTATCAAAATCAGATTTTAGCCATTTATAATAGTTTAAGCGACCGTGCTAGAACCACGGGATCCAGGGGTGCCTAACACCTTCCCTCGGGTCAACAAAATTCCTTACTTAGAATTTCTGGTTCGCAGACTCCAATTGGGAAGTCGAAAATTTTCCTCGGTTCGGGATTCAAGATAAACCGGTGACTTGGAACACCAAAAGCCAAACCTATCCCAAGTGGCGACTCTAAATAAATAAATAATCTTGATCTGAATAATGTCACTTTAAATGGAAAAACTCCCTTATACATTATCCTTCGGGGTTTTAAATTAGAGTTTGTTTTTAAAAAAAATTCTCCTAGTTTATTTTCTATATCGATGAACCCCCATAAACTCCACCAACGGATGCGTAATTGATTTTCTATATTTGAATGGTATTTGTTGTTCTATGATGCTAAAAAATATACCGCACTTTGAGATAAATTATTTGACGTTACGGTGTAGAATGCATAATTCGTGATTCTATGTTTCTGTTGTGCATTTTCTAAGCAATATATGATATTCAAAGTGCGAATTATTGGATGCAAAATGAGCTTGATCAGTTTTGCGTAAGTATAATGAATTTGAAATTTCTGCACTTCATAATAATATTATTTCACGTTATTTGGTAGAATTGTGTAACGTGCGATGGGTTTGCACTTTTCAGAGTATTAAACGATGTTCTATCCCTACGGGTAGGGATAAGGTCTGCGTACATCCTATCCTCCCAGACCCCATTAGTGGAATTCTGGGTTGTTGTTGTTATAGAGTAATAAAGGATGCGCCAATAATGAATATACCTTTACCTTATTTTAGAATATCTTTTTTCTGGTGAGAAAGACAAATTTTACATATTAATCTCTCTTTTGAGCAAAGATTAGTAGTCTAAACTCTCTTTTAATGATGAATGAGGCTTTGCTTCTCATACTGCTTTTTTAGTTTCTTATCACTAGACTTTTTTTATATTCTTTGAGCTTTTGAAATTCTAGAGCAAATTACTGCTCCCAACGGAAAGAGCTGTCTAAAAAGGAAGAAACAAAAGAAGAGTTACATGATATTGGCTTAAAATTAGATTTGGTGGAGATAGTGATCTTTTCCCTTTTTCTCCTTCAACTTTTTCCTTCAACAATCCTCTTTAAATGGCCTATATTTGTCTGTACTCGCTTTTACAAAAGCAATTTTTCATCATCATGAATATGAAATAAGGATACTTTTCGAAAAAAGGATTCTATTAGTCCCACAAATATATCAGGAATAGGGGGGGGGGAATCAATGATACAATCTTTATATGCAAAAAGCGAAGCATAATTTATCATAATTCTATTGAATATCTTATCATGCCACTAGAAAAAGGAGAGGAACAATTTTCATATAACTAATGATTGACAGTGGAGGTTTAATTTCAATGCTGTTGGAATTGGTCCAAAGTGATAATTGCCTACATATAAGCCTTTAATTTGTTTACAAAGTCGGTCTTCGTTAGTCAAATTTTTTTCTTGTTCCTAATGATCTCCAGTGACCCATCTATGAGATTATTTGCACTAGTTTAAATTCATATAAAACGATCGACCGTATAATAAAGAATGGAAAGCAAAGAACCAACTCTCGATTGTCCAACATCACATAAGGACAAAATATATTCTTAACCAATATGAGATATTCTAACAACCCAGGACTAGTTAATTGAAGCGTGAATATCATAGCACGAGAGCCAATGTTGAGTAGATCAAGAATATAAATGAGTTTGGTTTTAATGCCATACTAAAAAAAGATTCTTTGTCTAACTTAACCTCAAAAAATTAGATCCTGAGGTAAGAATTATTCAAAATCATATAAAAAAATAACACTTTATTTCCTCTATCATTGTGGCCATTCCAAGGAGATTCACGTTACTATCAAATCAAAAGCTTTTTTCTAACGTATAATGTAATTGTAGATTTGGTATTTAATCATACAAAATGACACAAAATAGGGTACTGCAATAAAGGGTTTCTATTATCCTATATTAGAGTACAGTATTAATTATTTATGCTTAGTAATGATGTTCAGCGACACCCAGAGAGATCTTTTAATGTCTACAAATGGAAAAGTAACAACAACAAAACAAAACAAACCAAAAGGTGTCCAAGATTCCAATGTCCCTTGGCTCAATAAAAAGTGTAAGATTCTTTATCAAGACAGTGGAAATTGACCCAAGTGGCTGGACGACTCTTTAGGTTTTATTTCAAATGAAGAAACTACTTAG